ACCACCACCACCACCACCACCACCACAATTTACCACACCACCACCACCACCACCGCCACAACCACCTCCACTACCAGCAGCACAACCCCCACCACCAACACAATCTACCACACCACCACCACCACCACCACCACCACCACCACCTACACAAACCACCACCACCACCACCACCACCACCACAACCCACCACCACCACCACTACCACCACCACAAACCACCACCACACCACCACCAAACCGCCACCACCACCACCACAACCCGCCACCACCACCACCACCACCACAAACCACCACCACACCACCACACCACCAAACCACCACCACCACCACCTCCACCACCCACCACCACAACCACCACCACCACAACAAACCACAACACCACCACCACAACCACCACCACCACCGCCACCACCACCACCACCACCACCACCACCACCACCACCACCGTCGTCCTCGTCGACGCTCCCCGCCGCCGCCGCCCGCCGCCGCAGGCGCTGGCGTGGCTCAGAAAAGGAAATCGTCGTCCCCGCCGCCGCCGCCAGCCGCCGCCGACGCAAGCGCCGGCCCGAGGAGAGGGGAAGCAGGGGAGGGAAGGGGGGGTTGGGGGGGGAAGGTCGAAACCAAGGGGGGGAAGGTTCGAGCTCCCCCCCCCTCCGTCACGGGAGGGGGGCGGGGGGTTCGAACCTCCCCCCTCCATCCAGGGGGGGCGGGTGGGGGTCCGGTTCCAACCCCCCCCCCTCAAGCGACCACAGAACGCGCTCTTTCGGCTATTTCAATCCTGGCGTTCTTTCTCGATCTGGGCCTCTGGGTCCCGTTATCGAGCCCTGGGACCACCCAACATGGATCCGAGCCCCAAAAAAGGCTTGGGGGAAGGGGTCGGGACATCTGGGGGCACGCATTGCAAAACCTGATATTGACACGAACCCCGACCTTGAAGGACAAGTAGACGTGACTTGCCAGGAAGAGAACATCAAATAAGGGGATACCTATACGACACAGAATGCTGATTCCAATGTTGTCCGTTTGACGCTGCGCCGCTTGAAGGCGCATTATGATGGTTCCCGTGTTGTCCGTTTGACGCTGTGCCACTTTGTCGGAGCGTCTCCGACCATCTTGGAGACCTGTTGGGCAGTCTTCGGGCCCTGGGGCGCGACCATCTCGGGGCCCTCTTAGGCAGTCCTGGGGTCCTCTTGGTGGCCTCTGGGGGCTTTGTGGGAACCTCTTGGAGGCTTCTTGTGGCCTCTTGGGGGCCTCTTGGGGCCGCCTGGGGGGTTCTTTAGGCGGAGAGCCCACAATGTCAGTCCCTGCCCCCCCTCTGGGGCGTTCCTGGGGCCTTCTTAAGCCGCCTTAAAGGCTTCTTGGGCCGTCTTGAGGGCGTCTTGGGCCGTCTGGGCGCTCTCTTCGGGCCTTTCAAACCGTGTTATGGCGATCTTTGGGGCCTCTTGGGCCGTCTTGGAGCGTCGGGAGGCCGAGAAGGCGAAAACGAAGCACATTCAAAAACCGTAGGAAATCAATGAATGTTGCCACTCGGAGCCCTCTTGGAACCCCTCTGGGAAGCCTCCCGGGCCGTCTTGGGGGCTTCTTGGGTCATCTTGGGCGTCTTGGACTGGTCTTTCGGCGACTCGTGGCCCTCTTGGACCATCTTGCGGACCATCTTGGGGCCGTCCGTGCCGTCCAGAAGCGCGTCTGCCGAAATGGAGCCGTCTTCCGCTGGCTTCCGCCGACGTTCGCCGCGTGGCCGGGGCCATGTCCCGGGGGGTACCCCTCCAGACCCCCCCAGGGGAACACACAACGGGAACCCCTCCGCAAGGTCGGGCAAAAAAAAACACCGTCGGATGTCTGGGTTGCGTGTGGACGCCCGGCAAACCCCCAGGCAGCCCCAGCTGGCCCCCCGAGTAGCCTGGGGCGGTCTCGGCACATGCCCTTGCGCCGCCTCCCGCCGGGCCCCCCGGGCGCTGCGCGCTCCTCCAGGGATGGGGTATTGATGATGGGCATGTTTTCCACCACCACCACCACCATAAGTTGGAGGAGGAGGAGGAGGAGGAGGAAGAGGAGGAGGAGGAAGAGGAGGAGGAGGAGGAGGAGGAAGAGGAGGACCCCCTCCCACTCCAACTTAATTATGGTGGTGGTGGTGGAAAACAGGCCCATACCCTGGCGTCGCCTCCCGCCGAGCCCCCCCCCGGGCGCTGCGCGCTCCAGGATTGGGGCACTGAGACCGCCACGGTCGAAGCGCCGCGGGCATGTCGAGGCCAGCCGGGACTGCCTGGGGGGGGCTCTGTGCGCCACCACCTACGATAGCACGGGTCGTTCGATGTCGGCCGACTCCAGGCCACTAGGGTCGGGGGGAACGAAAAGGGGGGATAGCAAAGGGCAGGGTAGAGAATCAGCTCACGTAGCTGATTTTCACAGCGCCTCCCGGTGCCGGGGCCGAAACCAGCTGCATGCAGCAGATTTCGTAACCCCCCCCTTTCCCTAATTATCCCCCCCTCTCGTTCGGCCCGATAGGGAGGTTCCACCTTGAGCGCCATCGCCGGGATCGCCGCCGCCCCGGCGCGGCGCGAGCATGCGCACAGGCCACCGACCTCCTCGAGCCCCCCCCCCCCCGCGCTCCTCCGACAGGGTCCTGCCTTCTTGGGGAAGGAGGCGGGGCAGCGCGGTGGATCTGTGTGGCTGTCTTCCTTCGAAGAGGTGGAACGAGGAAGGAGGAGGGGGGGGAGGAGGAGGAGGAGGAGGAGGAGGAGGAGGAGGGAGGAGGAGGAGGAGGAGGAGGAGGAGGAGGAGGAGGAGGAGGAGGAGGAGGAGGAGGAAGAGGAGGAGGAAAGGGTGGAGGACGTCCCGCTTGTTTGCGTCCCTTTCTAGGGCCGTCCCGGGGACCTCCGAGGCCACAGCCGGACACAGCTGGAAACATCGGAGCCCCGAAAACGAGGACACTGAGCAGCCAGGACGCTGGCACGCCGAAGACTGCAGGCGTGGGGGGGGCAGACGTTCTCCCTCTTTGGCGTTCTCCCTGTGTATCTCAGGAGTCGTGGTTTGTACTTCGGAGCGCTGCACAAATCCGCCGATCCAGCGTGTGAATTTCTGAGAGCGTGGACTTGAGCTCGCTCAAGCTTCGCTCTGCAACGGGGGGGGAGGGGGGACGCCATTCCCGACGCCATTCCCGACGCATTTAGTGCTCGGGAGCGGGGTGAGCCCACGACAGGGGGGAGGGGGGGGACGCCATTCCCGACGCCATTCCCGACGCATTTAATGTTCGGGGGCGGGGGGCCCACAGCATTCGCGACGCCGTTCCGACGCTCTGACCATGGAGGGGGGGGGGGGGACGACGCCATTCCAAACACCATTCCCGACGCATGTCGTGCTCGCAAGACGCCTCCAAGACGCTCCAACAGGTACCCAACCACCTTCGAAGAGAGACCCACGAGGTCCAAATCGTCCAATTCCCATGGGAAAACGTACATTTCTACCTTCTACGACATTTCGGCCTTCACGACGTTGCCGACGGTCCCAGAGACCCCCGAGACCGCGTCAAGACGGCTCAAGAGGCTCCTAAGACGACCTCACAACGGCCCAAGAGGGCGCCCTGCACTTCCTCCTCATCCTCCTCCTTCTCATCCTCCTCCTCATCCTCCTTCTCCTCCTGCTCCCTCCTCATGCTGCTTCCTCTCTGCTCCTTCTCCTCCTTCACCTCTCCCTCCTCCCTCATTCCTCCCTCCCTCCCTTCCTCCCCTTCTCCTTTTTCCCTCCTCCCTCCTCCCTTCTCCCCCCTACTTCGGGCTCACATGGAAAGCGTCTTGGGGGCCTGTCGGGGCGTCTTTTGAACTCCCTGGGGCATCCGGACGCCATATTGGGCGTCTATGGGGCTTCTGGAGGGGTCACTGGGGTGGAGAACCCGAAAAATCGACCCCTGCCTCCGCTCCTGGGGCTCTCTTGGGGCGTGCGTGGAACACTTGTGAGGCCGTCTTGGAGGCCTCTTGGGTCGTCTTGAGGACGTCTTGGGCCGTCTGAGCGCTCTGTCGGGGGTCTCTGAGGCTATCTTGGGGCGTTCTTTGGGGCATCTTGGGCCGTCTTGGAGCGGCGGGAAGCCAAACAGGCGAAAACCCAAAAAACCTTCAACACCTAGGGAAAACTCAAGATTTGTTACGTTTCGGGCTCTCCTGGAAAGCCTTTTGGGAGCCTCTCGGGGCGTCTTTTGGGCTCGCTGGACGTCGGGACACCATATTGGGCGTTTCTGGGCGCTTCTGGAGGGTCACTGGGGCGGAGAACCCGAAACATCTGCCCCTGCCTCCGCTCCGGGGGCTCTCTTGGAGCGTGCCTGGAACACTTGTGAGGCCGTCTTGGAGGCCTCTTGGGTCGTCTTGAGGACGTCTTGAGCCGTCTGAGCGCTCTGTTGGGGGCCTCTGAAGCTGTCTTGGGGCGTTCTTTGGGACCTCTTGGGCCGTCGTGGAGCAGCGGGAAGCCGAAAATGCAAAAACCATAAAAACCTTCAAAAACCACAGGAAAACTAATGAATTGTAATGTTTCGGGCTCTCCTGGAAAGCCTCTTGGGGGCCTCTCGGGGCGTCTTTTGGGCTTCTTGAGACGTCGGGACGCCACATTGGGCGTCTTGGGCCGATCTTTCGGCCACTCGAGGCCTTCTTGAACCATCTTGTGGACCATCTTGGGGCCGTCCGTGCCTCTCGGAAGCGCGTCTGCGGAAATGGGGCCGTCTTCTGCCGTCTTCCGCCGGCGTTCCGCCCGTGGCCGGGGCCATGTCCCAGGGGGTACCCCCCCAGACCCCCCGAGGGGAACACTAAACGGGAACCCCTCCGCCAGGTCGGGGAAAAAAGCAGCATCGCAAAAAATCACGCCTGGAGCCCTGGACTCCATCTTTCAGCTGCATTTTCCGAGCTGGATCGATCTGTGATGCTCCCCAGGGGTCGAAAACGGGCAAAACCGCCAGGTGTGAACAAAAATCCAACGCCCCGATCCATCAATCTCCGAGCCAATCTATAAGCCGAGGACCACCGCGTAGTCGGCCGGCGTCATGAAGCCGGACCACTCCGGCAACGACGAGCAGAGGATCGGGGTGCACTGCCGCTCCTGCCCGCGGGGCCCGCGCCGTCTGGACGAGGGGGGCTCTGCGGCATCCAGGTCCGGACCAGCCTGACCTGACATACCGCCTGCTCCTCCCCCATCTCCTCCTCCTCCTCCTCCTCCTCCTCCTCCTCCTCCTTCTCCTCCTCCTCCTCCTCCTCCTCCTCCTTCTCGTCCTCCTCCTCCCAGCCCTCCTCCTCTCCTCTGCATAGCCATTTTGGTTCGAGATACTTGTTTCCGCGCACACGACGTGGGTACCGCTAGTCCGCGGCCAGGAACAAGAGTTCTTCCCTTCGGCTCTGCGGGAGTCAAGGGCACCTCTCACCGATCCTCGCACCACTGTGCGAGAACTGTTTCGGGCTGCGAAGCCTTCGGGATGGCGTCGAATGTCATTTTCGCGGGACCGGGCAGCCTCTCGTCAACTGGGGCTCGAACAAAGTGTCAAGCCGGCTGGGGAGCCTTCCAAAAGCACTTTTGCAGGAGCGGCTGTGGGAACTAAGCAGCACGCAGATCTCCAAGCTGCAGATTCAGAAGCTTGCGCATGAGAACGCTCAGTTACGCAAACAAGGGGGCTGAACCTACTGATCTCATCATGGTCGATGACCCGACGGACTGAGATATTCTCGAAGAGTCGGTTAGCCTGGAGAAACACCTCAAGAGGCTCGAGGGTCAGACAGCGTTCTGGGAATCGACTCAAGCCACTTTCATCAGGCAGCAAATCGAGAGACAAAAGAACATCTCATATGACAGAGAGCCGCTCCCCGCCACGCTCACGGCCATATCGCGCCGAGTCGAAACAGCAAAGAGGGCCATGGACAAGGCAGCTTCCGACCTGGAGGAGGCCAAATTGCAGCTGGCGGAGGCGACCAAGGCGGTGGCCACCGCGGAGAACGGCCTCGCCAACAAGGAGACGACTAGGTCTAATTGGAGGGCGAGCCGCAGCTGCTCGCGAAGCAGCCCCAGAAGGAGGCGGAGGCGCCGCTGGAGAGCTGCCGGCCCTGGACCTGGAGATGCCGGAGACGCTGCTCGATGGAAGCTGCTGGGAAACATAAACTCTTGGCGCTCCGCGCGGATTTCTTGGATCTGCGCTGTACCCCCCTCCCTGGCGCGCGGAGCGCGCCGGGGGCACCAGAGGGGCCGCCACGGGCAGGGGCCAAGCGCAGATCCAAGAAATCCGCGCGGGGCTCCGAAAGATCATGTCTATAGCGTTACTTTCTTCTTCGATGGACGGCGTCACCGACGCCTAGAAGGTGGAGCCCATGCTGCTGGAGGCACGCAAGAGGCAAGCGCCAGCAGCGAAGGAGTCTCTGGCCCCTCAGGCTAAGCTACCCCGCGCCACGATGTGGAAGCCCGAGGGTGAGGACGTCGCCACGGTCAGGACTTCCATCACGGAGTTCGTGGTCGAGGGCGCCAGTGACGAGGAGATCCTTAGGAGGCAAAATCGATTACGGCAGGAGGTTTTCGACAGACATGCTCGCCCTAGTGATTGCCTCCGTGAAGACGTTCCTGACGTCGCGGGGGGAAACCGCAGATACAATTCAAATAGCAGGATCCAACAGGTAGTTCCAGTGGGTGGACGGCGGTAGCGTACTCCGTCTTCCGTGTGAGACTTACCTGCGCCAGAGAAGGCTGAGTCTCGAACCCCGTGGAACTCGGGAGGAAAGAGAATCGGCAGGAGGCAGAAGAAGAGGGCACGCAAGAAGCAGGTGTCCCTTCGAAAGTCGAACTGCCTGTACCTGTCCTGCCATGCGGTGCTGGCGACGTGCAGCCATCCCTGAAACTCTGGCCGAGGGGTCCCGCCAGAGCAGAGGAGGGAGTTCAACGACGTGCTGACGTTGTGGAGGCAAGCAGGTAATTCCACAGCTGTTCACCTACGCAGGCAAATTACAGTCTGTCTATTCTGATTTGGAATTGCACACCCACGCGCATGAAGACTTCAGAGAGTTCGGCCTGAACCCAGCTGCCTTCCACTGGACTGCTGGGGGGCTCATCATGTCAATCCTGGTCGCCACCGTCACAGAGCTGTTCACCGGTGGCAGATGTGGAGGCACTGGGATGGGCCGGTTTGAGGGAGTTTCTGTGGAACTACCGTCATCCTCACCCCCGGCGCGGGGAGCAGAGGAGCCCAGAGCGGCCTCCGGCACCGTTTCCGGACAGATCCGGTGGATCCGCCGACGAATCCCAAACCGGCGCCCTCGCTTGAGACATCCTCACAAAACCGGCCCCGGGGGAGGTGCCCAGAGGAGCCCAGAGCGGCCTCCGGCACCGTTTCCGGACAGATCCGGTGGATCCGCTGGATCCGACCGACGAATCCCAAACCGGCGCCCTCGCTTGAGACATCCTCACAAAACCGGCCCCGGGGGAGGTGCCCAGAGGAGCCCAGAGCGGCCTCCGGCACCGTTTCCGGACAGATCCGGTGGATCCGGTGGATCCGCCGACGAATCCCAAACCGGCGCCCTCGCTTGAGACATCCTCACAAAACCGGCCCCGGGGGAGGTGCCCAGAGGAGCCCAGAGCGGCCTCCGGCACCGTTTCCGGACAGATCCGGTGGATCCGGTGGATCCGCCGACGAATCCCAAACCGGCGCCCTCGCTTGAGACATCCTCACAAAACCGGCCCCGGGGGAGGTGCCCAGAGGAGCCCAGAGCGGCCTCCGGCACCGTTTCCGGACAGATCCGGTGGATCCGCCGACGAATCCCAAACCGGCGCCCTCGCTTGAGACATCCTCACAAAACCGGCCCCGGGGGCGGTGCCCAGAGGAGCCCAGAGCGGCCTCCGGCACCGTTTCCGGACAGATCCGGTGGATCCGGTGGATCCGCCGACGAATCCCAAACCGGCGCCCTCGCTTGAGACATCCTCACAAAACCGGCCCCGGGGGAGGTGCCCAGAGGAGCCCAGAGCGGCCTCCGGCACCGTTTCCGGACAGATCCGGTGGATCCGCCGACGACGAATCCCAAACCGGCGCCCTCGCTTGAGACATCCTCACAAAACCGGCCCCGGGGGAGGTGCCCAGAGGAGCCCAGAGCGGCCTCCGGCACCGTTTCCGGACAGATCCGGTGGATCCGCTGGATCCGACGAATCCCAAACCGGCGCCCTCGCTTGAGACATCCTCACAAAACCGGCCCCGGGGGAGGTGCCCAGAGGAGCCCAGAGCGGCCTCCGGCACCGTTTCCGGACAGATCCGGTGGATCCGCCCGACGAATCCCAAACCGGCGCCCTCGCTTGAGACATCCTCACAAAACCGGCCCCGGGGGAGGTGCCCAGAGGAGCCCAGAGCCTCCGGCACCGTTTCCGGACAGATCCGGTGGATCCGCCGACGAATCCCAAACCGGCGCCCTCGCTTGAGACATCCTCACAAAACCGGCCCCGGGGGCGGTGCCCATCGAACAGATCCTCCGCCGCTCCGGCGCCCTCGCTTGAGACATCCTCACAAAACCGGCCCCCCAGAGGAGCCCAGAGCGGCCTCCGCACCGTTTCCGGACAGATCCGGTGGATCCGCCCCCAAACCGGCGCCCTCGCTTGAGACATCCTCACAAAACCAGAGGAGCCCAGAGCGGCCTCCGGCACCGTTTCCGGACAGATCCGCTGGATCCGCTGATCCGACGAATCCCAAACCGGCGCCCTCGCTTGAGACATCCTCACAAAACCGGCCCCGGGGGAGGTGCCCAGAGGAGCCCAGAGCGGCCTCCGGCACCGTTTCCGGACAGATCCGGTGGATCCGCCCGACGAAATCCCAAACCGGCGCCCTCGCTTGAGACATCCTCACAAAACCGGCCCCGGGGGAGGTGCCCAGAGGAGCCCAGAGCGGCCTCCGGCACCGTTTCCGGACAGATCCGGTGGATCCGCTGGATCCGATCCGACGAATCCCAAACCGGCGCCCTCGCTTGAGACATCCTCACAAAACCGGCCCCGGGGGAGGTGCCCAGAGGAGCCCAGAGCGGCCTCCGGCACCGTTTCCGGACAGATCCGGTGGATCCGCTGGATCCGCTGGATCCGGTGACGAATCCCAAACCGGCGCCCTCGCTTGAGACATCCTCACAAAACCGGCCCCGGGGGAGGTGCCCAGAGGAGCCCAGAGCGGCCTCCGGCACCGTTTCCGGACAGATCCGCTGGATCCGGTGGATCCGCCGACGAATCCCAAACCGGCCCCGGGGGAGGTGCCCATGGAGCCCAGAGCGGCCTCCGGCACCGTTTCCGGACAGATCCGCTGGATCCGGTGGATCCGCCGACGAATCCCAAACCGGCGCCCTCGCTTGAGACATCCTCACAAAACCGGCCCCGGGGGAGGTGCCCAGAGGAGCCCAGAGCGGCCTCCGGCACCGTTTCCGGACAGATCCGGACAGATCCGGTGGATCCGCGCCCCGGGGGAGGTGCCCAGAGGAGGAATGAGGAGGAAGAGAGGAGGAGGAGGAGGAGGAGGAGGAGGAGGAGGAGGAGGAGGAGGAGGAGGAGGAGGAGGAGGAGGGACAGCGTACAGGGGGGGTTCAGCTCTACCCTAAGAAAGAGGCGCAGGGGCGCCAGAGGTCGTTGCCTCGCTCTTTGCGGTGTTAGAACACCAAGGCTGATTATGCCACGAGGAGGGAGAAGCAGGGGAGGAGCACGCAGGAGCAGGGGCAGGGCTCAAAGGAGCGACGGAAGGGGTGGGAGACGGGGGAAACGCCAGCAACATAGCTAACTCCAGGGGAGAGGAGCGAGAGGAGACGGCAGAGGGCAGCAGCAGGGAGGGCTCAAGGGACAAGGGAGACGGAACGGGCGGATGGGCATGCGCAGAGCCGAGCGTGGGCGGGCAGAGCGGGGTGTGCGGGGCAAAAGAGGACAAGGGGGCAGTCGAAAAGAGGCAGCGACGGGAAGGCTCAGGGTAAGGCGGGGTCCTTGGCGAGGACCACGGGGGGGGGGGAGATAGCCTCTGGGTCGACGGGCTGGCCATCAGGGTGCTCGGAGACCGCGAGGGAGTCCATGACAACGTCATCGGGGAACATGACGCCACGGACGAGCAGGGCGCC